ATCGAAACAAACAACAGCATCACCACCACCAACGATAGCATCAGCATGAGCTCGCTCAAGCAGAATTTGCCTTTTATGGACCGAAATAAAGGAATTATGGACACTGACAGAGGATTCCCAGCCGGGCTTGCGCGATCGAAAGCGCCTGGATTCGGCTTTTCAGAAAAGAGTTTTGAATTGAACGGGCCACAGGTTGCTTGCGTCATTGGACAACCGCAGCAACATCATCCCAAAGCCGAAGAGAGTTGCCACTTCTTTACGAATGGTTCGGAATTTTTGAAAAACACAATCGGTTGTAACGGTGGTTTTGTCTGTCTAGCAGAAACTGTTCCGCAGGCAACTTCAGGTACGTGTTTGTGTTAAGCTAGATAGCTGGCAGCTGCTGCTTTTGTCGGAATTTATCTGTGATTTTGGTGCAAAATACATCAAAACAATGGGCAGGAACTTCTTAGCCATAAAGCTTTTTTAACCTTTTGTCTGGTTGTTTAAAGCTGCTGCTAATTCATGAGCTTATTCTCGAACTATGCAGCGTGCAAGGTTTTCTGCTTGTTTCGGCCGGTGCTGCATTCTCTGGTAGTCAGCTTTTGGCGATTTCTTTTTCCTGTTGCTCGTCTCGTTTTTTTAAAAGGCTTCCGGAAGCGCTTGGCAGGCCCTTAGCACTGTTATGATCTCCTTGGTGTGTGTTACGTCTAACCACTTCGTCGCGTCTAACCACCTCAAAACATTCGTCGTTTTTTGCATTTGAATATCCATAATTAGATATGTTGAGAAAGTTCAGGAGTGCGGCATAGATTTTTTCTTAACAAAATTTGAATATCTTATCGATTTTTGAAAGTGTTGAATTCAATGAGCTGAAATATCTTTGTTACCTTGAGCCTACTTTTTACCACTGAAATGATGTTGGCTACATGGTTGGGTAGCTGCTACATCCCTTGCATCCTCTGGAGCATAAAAAGTCGAGCACTTAGAATTCCTTTTGCTTTCCATACAATATGAGAGGATCAGTAGTGATTAGATGATTGATAAAAATTGTCCTTATTTAGTAATGCCAGTGAATGAAGCATCCTGGAAAGAAAAGCAGGAGAAATTGTTCTGGGCCCGAGCTCCCAATGCATCTCAGCCATCACTTCTGGCTCCATCGCAGTCTCAGAAACCAGGTATTTTTACGCACTCAGTAGACATCTTTTTTCGTCGACGTTTTTCATGTCTGTCTAGGTTCTGTGCTGCACGCGTCATAATGTGATCGTGAGTTTAATGTGAAAGGCGATTGCTGGGACGTATTACTTGTTTCATTGAAAGTTGACAGGCGTCATGCACTATCAGTGAACGATGCACTTGGCTAGGGAAATCAGACGAACTTCGCAGAGTTCACGTACTAAAAGAGGCTGATGTAGCAGTTGCTGAACACAGAACGGTCCAGCATAACTGAATGCATTGTTCGAGCGCATCTCAGAAGCATCGGCAGGTCCCCATTCGAAT